CTTTGTGTCACCGAAGTTTTCTTACTTTAAATTATAATAATATCAATATCCTGTTTTTTCAATCTGCGATCAATTCAACATATGTGTAAAGTATTTAAATCAACCCGTTCCGGGAGAAATGTAGTTTAAACTATTTTCAATTTTTACAGCCATTTTTGATTTAATTATACTATATGTATATTGATAACAAATATTTGTTTTTAGTTGAGATTTAGATGGTTATGCAGTCGGAAACAAAATGTCGCGGAAAAGATAAACTCATTACAGAAGAATATTGACAGTTTGTACAGGCCATTAGATTACATTACAAATCAGACTATTTCCAAAAGTTGAGCTTATTAAAGTTATACGCATTTGCAAATATGGTAAAAAATAGTTTCTTATACCGTAAACAATATTCTGAAGGAAAAGCAAATAATTTATTCAAGTACCCGAACATTTATTATAAAGGAGTTATAAAATTCATGTTTAATATTATCTAATTGTAACTTAACCGTATTTTTGACTTGTGTTACAAAAGTTTAAGTTTGTGTACTTCGTATAACAAGAACCGGTTGAACCGGATGTTGCTCCCCATGAAAGTATACCGTTTGTCATAAACAAAGTTCAGAGTGTTAAAATGAAACAAAGGGCAAAAATTCCAAAATAAGGCAAGGCAGACTTAAGGTTCTTTTGCACTGCTCTTCTATTTAATGAGATCTATCTATCTTCAAAGTACATTTTTATACATCTTATGATTTCAGATTTATGTCTCGGACAAAGTTCAAAGTGTAAAAATGAAAAAGGGCAATAACTCTAAAATAAGGCAAGATAATTTTATATTGTTTTTGCACTGCACACAAATTCATGCTGATATCTCTTATAGTTTAAGAGTTATGTCCCGGACAAAGTTTAAAGTGTAAAAATGAATAAAGGACAATAGCTCAAAAATATATCACTGCACTTCTTCCCAATGGGATATTTTAACCTTCAAAGTTTCATTTTGATATCTCTTATAGTTGTTGAGTTATGAACCGAACAAAGGTCAAAGTGTAACAATGAACAAAGGGCAATAACTCAAAATTACGCAATACACAGTTATAGATCCTTCGCACTGCACTTCTACTGCACTTCTACTCAATGAGATTTATTTACCTACAACGGTCCATGTCCATATCTCTTATAGTTTTAGAGTTATGTCCCGGACAAAGTTCAAAGTGTAGAAATGAACAAAGGGCAATAACTCCAAAATTAGTCAAGATATATGTTCACCCTTCGTGGAGGATAAAAATGTATGAGCTTTCAATGGTGAATTCAATGGTGAATTGCATTATAAAGATAAACATCTCTCGAATTTGATCTCTGGTTCCTTATACATGTATATTTGTTGTGACATAATAGGGCGTGAAGGGTACTTTTCAATTACAACTACCGGCCATGAAAAGGCAACATTTTTAGTTTTGTCGTTTTGAGCGTTCTTTATGATTCAGTGTTTGTTTGTTTGTTTGTTTGTTTGTTTGTTTGGAGGTTATTATTATTATTTTTATTTATTTATATATTTATTTGTAAAAGTAAAAGAAAACATGTATTTAAACTGATATGATCTATTTGAATGATCCAAGTCAAATCATTTGATCTACAAATAAAACTCACTCCCATCATTGATAAAAACTAGAAATTTACTTCACTTGCATTTTTAAGTGTGTAACCTTTTTTAATTATTATAAAGTATAAGTCAATTAAAATTAGTGCTAAAAAGTAAGAATGTTGAAATTAAACAATCATTTCCGTTTGTTTAGTCATAATTTTTATTTGATCATCAAATAATCCATAATTCAAAATATTGGCTTCCTTAAATATGTATGCTCTATATAAGGACAACTGTTTTTCCGGTCAGAAATGGCCCAACATATATAGTACGTAAGGTATAGAGCAAATATATTTACAATAGTGTTCATGCAAATATAGTTTATATAGATTGAGAGAAGAGAAAGGGGGATATTTGGCAACTTAGAAGACTGCAGAAAAACTTATATATTGATTGATGTACATAAACGATATTGCAGCACAATCCAAATAAATGTATTATAGAGCTAGAATAATGTGCCGATTTTGAACGAAAACCCGTCAACTGCTGTAAACTTGATCTTTACTTGTAAATATAGTAAAGTATATTTCAACCTTGTCATGGTATGACCCATCAGAAAACCATGTGATCCTTAATGAAATTGATAATTTCTGTCAAAAATTGTTAACCTTTAAAGATTGAGCAAAATATAACCTGACAAAGTTTGGCAAACAAACAAATTTTAATATTTAAATTTTAACTTTGACCACTTCTGATCTTGACCACCATTTTGAACAAGACAACTCTAAACAAAATAGATAGCATTTGTGCTAAGACATGTAAACATCCATGCATGTATATAGAAGTTATACTCGCAAATGTATATTTCAATTTGTTATTTGGCCTTTGTCCCCTAAGTGTGACCTTGGCCTATGTCAAAGACCCCAGGAGTTTTTGCGCAACACTCCGCCTCACTAGGAAAAACATATTTCCTGAGTCATATCAAAATTCCTCCTTGTATGTAGAAGTTACACTCCAGACTCCAATTTTGCGCAACATTGACCTTTTTAGCGGCGGACATACCATCCCATAATGGTGAATATGTGTATCAAGTTATTTTGTTATCCTTCAAAGATAAACATGAAGAAACGAAGTTAGTTTCTACAGAAAAAGTGAATGGGTCCAGAAAACCGGTCATACATTTGGGATTGGTCAGTATTGTAACGAAGTTCTTTTCGTCCGAAAACCTTTTTATTACTCCGGAATTCACGTAAATATAAGTTGGCAGTTATCATCTTTATTCATTCTGTTTTTTTTAAATATATATAATATATGATGTTAAAATCAGTTTGTAATTCCGTATTTTTGCTACATTACTACTAAAACAAGTGCTGGCACTGATTAAAATTCGGGATGCATACCTAGAGTATGATCTAAATTAAATCGAGATAAGATGAAGACAATATGACATAATCAAATAGATCAAATGAGCCGTGTCATGACAAAACCAACATTATGGATTTGCGACCAGCATCCGCGCAGTCTGATCAGGATCCATGCTATTCGCTATCAGTTTCTCTACTTGTGGATGCGCAGGCTGGTCTGGATCCATGCTGGTCGCAAACCCATTCTGTTGGTTTTGGTATGACACGGCTCAAATGTCTTATCTGGGTACTCATTGACGTCATTATATGTAGTAACGTTTTTGTGTCAAGGGTCATGCGACCTCTTCCTATAAATATCCCAGATTTCCCTTAAACTTGGTCAATTGTATTGTCCGCTCTACAGACGCACAAGTACCTATCTGGAGAGGTACCCAGAATCATTAAATAGATATATTCCCCATTCAATAAACTGATTAACAACGAGTATTGAGAAACTTTGAAGATAACTGCAGACCCAACTGGAGTGGTTGGGGGAAATGTTCCCATTTTGACTACAGGCATTATTAATATTGTTATTGGCGGTGTATACATGCATGAATGATTTTGACGATGAAATAATGAAGTGTTAAATTAATTAAAGGCTTTCTCCTGATACAACGTACCCTACCTATTAAATCTGTTTACTGTGCTCTACCAGCTACATAGGCCTTCTATTGAGGTATGTATTCTGAGAAGAATAATTGTTTCGGGGACTAGTAGGCACTCCCCGCCGGCGTAGCAATGTGTAATTCAATATGAGCATTTTTCTAGTTATGCTCGTGATTTAAGCATAACGTGATTCGTGATTTAAGAGTGGCTTATAATAATGCTATTAAGCTAACTTCCACAAAATTACTTACATCTTGACCGTTGGGTAAAAATGTGCACCAACCTAAGTTTAACTTAAAGTGATGCATGATGTAAGAATATATAACTTATGCCAGTGACTAATAAGCTAAATTTTAGCCTGATATATATTTTACATGACGATATGACAAATATTAGCATATATCTCTCATATTCAGGAAACAAATCGTATAATTTATTTGATACTGTAACTGTTAAAATCGCACAAAGAACATCCATCTCACAAATATTTTAGCATGATATAATATTGTAACATCTGTTCGGAATTTAGAAAGTTTCGGAAATCCAAAGTTCTGAACTATCTGAACAAGAAGATAATAAAATATCAATAGTTCAAGTAGGACATGCTGAAAAATGTAAAAATTCATAAATTATAGTAAAATTATTAACACGTTTATTACAACTTTATCAAATTTCATGATCAACTATGACTTAATTTGTTGATACAATAGCATTATGTAAGTCAGCAGTGTTTTCATGTACATGTAGACTAAGTACTAGCGATCAACCTGTAATCTTTTTTTAACTCATTATCTTTCCCAGTTACTTATTTTAAGTTATGCTTGGACATTTCTGACAACTTATTATATTCCTTCAAACTATGCTTTAACTATCAGTTTTTGTTTTGTTTTCTTATTGTTTTCTTATTAATATTTGGAAGCAAATCACAATTTAACCATGTTTGTGAAGAAATTTTTAAGATTGCAAATACGATTTATAAATTCTAAAAATCAAGCGTTTGATAACAATTTATAATATTTAGAAAAATAGAATAGGACAAGCAATAAGAAATTAACATATTGATAAAAGTATGATATAATTTAATTTATGTACGGGAAGGAACTTGCAAATTTAATAATTATATTAATATGATGCGAGAAATAAAAAAATATATTTTTTTCTGTGAATTAAAGTAATGTTTAACCAAATATGTGCAAGCACAAAAAAGCCTCAATGTAATTATGACTAAGCTAAGAAATGTTAAAACAATTGATTTACATTCTATTTTCTACATACAAAACAATGTTTAAAATAGCTACTAACTATGAATTTGTTCAGTGTGTCAAAGAATTCAAAATGTTCATGGTTTATTCATTCGTTCCAAAACGCATCCCATATTCTTCCAACAACCCACCTTCTCTTTCTCCTTTCTTCCTTTTCTCTTAAAAGTTCAGCCTCCGTTCCACTTCCTGTAGACGTACTTCTTCTGTTTCTTTTAACCTTTCTTGCAGCATTACTTCATATCTTTCTTGATCTGCCGCTTGCTTTTCACGGCGATCTTTATCTATCTTTTCGTAATGATCTTCTAAATATTGTTTCTGTTGGAATAACGCGTCCTCGTGTGCTTTCTGCTGTTGCCTCAATAATTCGTCGAGTTTTTCTTGGTTTCGTCTTTGCTCGGCTGAAATAAAGCATTATCGTGAATGTTTGATCATAAGATATGGTTATAGGAGCATTTAATTGCACTTATATTTAATAAATAACAAACAATTTTAAGAGCTAACACACATGCCTTAATAGTATTATTATTTCACTCTAATTGAATTTGTGCATCATTTGCTTTCATTTTTCTAAGAACGCGTGGACTATATCTAAAGTAAATAACTGGTTTTATGATTTTATAGCTCCTGCGTTTTGTTATCCTTATGTTTTCTGAGTGATCACGTGCTATTCATTGTTGAAGGGAAAAATGAAACGGAGGATACAGTTACCGGTATAGGAAGTGAAACGCTCCAGTATCAAACAAAGCTGTTTTAAATGGATAATTTAAAAAAAAAACATTTAAGTACTGTAATCCTAGAAAATATTTCGCACTGTTTAACTCGGCACTTTTTTCGATGGAAACATTTCTGATAAGGTTTTATCCACGTTAAAATTGAATTTAACAAATCCGAGAACATTTTGTAGTTTTAACAATTTAGATTTTATCACAATGTCATTACAATACTATGATATAGTATGCATAACTTTATCCCGTGCACATTTTTTCTACGATAAATTTCCCTTTGCAAAAACGTTCATGCTGTTTGAAAGTATCTATTATTTACAGTTTAAATAATACCATATAATTCATGTTATTTACAGTTTGCAGGCATTGAATGTAGGTTAAGGAAGGTATTATTTTGTAAAAAGACATAGCAAATAATACCTATATAGATAATTATCAACTGTTTATTTTCAATACTTAACAAATTCAAATGGTGATTTATTTCCATATTGTAAGGTCAATCACAATCACTGCTATTTAAGTCGTCGTTATAATTTTTAATACATATTACACCATTTGCAAAGAAAAAAGTCATCTGAATGCATATTTTTTATGGTATTGGTGAATTACATCAGAATGGTATATATTTTATCTTACGTATAGATTGCTTATTGGTGAGATTTAAAGATTTTGTCATTATCTTATCCCTTAATCTTGTCTTGCGGGAATAGAGGGAACAAGTACAAAAATGCATACTTATGATATTTGTAATATATTGATTGCTTTGTACCATTCGCGAAATTCGCGATCATTATGATTGTGCGAAAGTTTTTTTCCAAGAAAACTATATATTGTTTCCACGAAAGTTTGAAGGAATAATGTATTGCTTCTGTAGCAATCATCAAATACCTTCCTTCTCCCTCTGAGACAAGTTTTCATCAGCTTCAAGTATTTTTGCTTCTGTTCTTTTCATGCTTTCTACAAATCCATACCATGTAGATAAAATCTATGAAAAGAATAAATAGTTGTATACCATATGATTCCTGTATGATTTTTAACTTTGAAAAAGTTGAAATATACCTATTTTCATTTTTTCTAATATTCTATTTTCATAGAAGCATAATTTAAACAGACAGCCCTAATGTCACGAGATTTCTCATATGAGATTCATTGCAAGAAAATAACATAATGATATTTCAACACAAGAAAGTCATTCAGTTATATTGTGGTAAAGCATTTTGAGGATATGTCTTCAATGGGGATTCTAAACATATGTTTAACAAGGTAATACTACCATGATAAATATAAAATTATTCATAAACCTCGTTCTCCTTGAAGTCTCTGAGAACACTGACATATTCATCCTTGGTTCTTTCAACATCATGCTTATATCTCCGATGGCCACCTGCTGTTTCATACTCTCCGTTTTTTATACTATTTTTAAGATATTTCACAAAGACATTTTGCAATGTATTCTCACATTTTTCTCGAACTTTTTTCTCATTAGTTGTTTTGACCTTGTTCCAAATTCCATCCATTTTTCTCTGTAAATAAATAATTAAAATAGTTTGTTTTATTTCTTATTGGATTTCAGTTATACCGACCACTTAGACACTGTAAAGATTTTCTGATGATAGAAGAACTTAGTTGCCCTTTCATATATTATTTGAGACACTAGAGGACATCATGGATCTTCCATATATAAATCAAATAATAAAAATGTTATAATAATTGTAGTTTTTTTTATTTATATTAAGTATATTTTAATACGTTTCATGTATGGCCCAGTGAAAGAACACAACCTTTGCATGGTACAAATTGAAGAAACATTTGCAAACATTTTCTGATATTTTCAGTGTGTGCAATCGTTTCAAGAAGCATACATAATGGAAAAGTTATTACCACAATCTCAAACATCAATATACTATCAATGGTTGACATGATTAATGTTTATAAATTTTAATGTGGGTAGGACCTTTAAAGCATTAAAATGGCCTTGGTGTTGTAAACTGAAACCTCGTTCAGACTAAGCTTTTAATATTTTTAATGACCAATCATATTCCTGAAATGCATTTATTTTTCTACTATCTTTATATTTTCGATGAAGTTTCCTAAGTGGTACTCACTTGCCATTGACCTGAATCATCTGTTCTTTTGTGCCTTTTGGTAATAGATAAAGTTACATGCTATTCTGTTTTAAAATACAAGTTTATTACATTTCGCTACTTTAATGACAACTGTTTGCATGTTTAGTGCATCTATCGTCAAATGATTAGCATTTACTTGTTCTTAAACGTTATCAAACTATACGTTTGCGCTTTCTAAAACATGAAATATTGATTTATACATAGCTATCCAATCTTGGACAGCGAAACAAGTTCTTGCAATTTATATTAATATATCTCGAGTCAGCTTCCCGACACCAACTGCACTCTGGTGTCAAATGAAGAAACATGGTCGTGACTGGATTAGGGCTGGAACGCATGAGTCCTGTATTGAGAGGCAGACACCGTAACCACTCGGCCACCGCTCCCGCGGCAGAATATCACTTTCAAGTACTACATATGACGGCAATATTTTTTTTTAATATTAAAATGAATGGAAAAGATTTGGACTAAAGGCATTTGTATAAATATCAAGGCACTATAATATAATGACTTTTGGCATTGACCACAGGCTTCTAGAGTTTTCCACAATATGTTATATAAACACACATCTATTCTTATTTATGTTCTTTGACGTAATATTGTGACCTCGAACTTTGTGTTGATGTCCTAATTATTGCTAGTAACTCATCATCTAATATACAACACTTGTTGTTTGCAAACTTATTTCGAAATTCTTCAATGAATGCCATGATTCTTGACTAGACATAAACATCAACCAATTTAATGAAGTTAATGTGACCTTTATTTTTGGCTACAAGCTAAATATATATGAAACATTAATCATGTTTAACTTATTTCAAAACCTATTCATGAATGCCAATATAAAAGACTAACTGAGATAATCTATTTACAATTATATGAAGACATTGAATGTACATTTGGCACCCGGTCCAACACATAGTTTCTTTTTAAATCCCTCCAGGCTTTGGATAGGCAGCATTTCCTTCGAAGAGACCTTGTCTCGATTTTGTATCAAAACGGATATAAAAATCCCTTGATGAATGACATGGTCATTGATAAGATTCAAAGGATGGAAAAAAGAAGAAGAAGAAGACAAAGAAGAACGATGGTATCTTTGTGGCATCTAAAATATTATTTGTTTGTTGTTACCATGAAAAGAAGATATGGCTAAGCCATAATTTACTTGATTTAGAAGAAGAATATGGGGCTGGCTACAGAAACATCTAAATTTTAAATCCACTTTAAAATAGAGATAAATAACGTTTAATATTCTCTGAGATGTAGATTTTATGAATTATAAAATGAATTGTCTATCTATTTATAATAATAATAAATCAAGTAGGGCTTCTTTACGCTTTATCCATCGAAATTGTTGTTTGAAATATGTAACTTGTTCGCAAAGCAGAAATAATTAAACATTTCAAAACAGGTTTTAAAAAATATCTGTTGACATTTAGAAATGTTGGCATAAATGTATATAAATTTATCTGTTGAAATAGACAGAACATATATATGTTTGGTTTATTATAACTTTTCAGAAGAAGGTTAGTAATAAGATAATATGTCATTTTCTATTGCATTTTCTTCGAATAATGGAAAGATTTAGCTAAAATACGAGGGCTGATTGATAAATGCGCGGAATACTATTATTTCTTAAACATTGAAAGAAGAACTAACAAATAACTTACACCATGAGATACCTTTACTCTCGACTGATAAAAGGCCAAATAAAAATCATTGAGATATATTGAATAATAAAGTTTACATGCAAAACACTACACTACCCTACACTTGAATCACGCCGATGCGACGTTGTTACACGCTGACGTCACATAAACAGGTAAGTCTAATTTCCGTTTCACTTTTTCAACGTAATTACCACCATTGACGACACATTTCTTATGCCTGTGTCAAAGATAACTTTAAACCAGTCTGAACAGAACGACGAGACTATCTCGCCCTGGTGCGTAGCTCTAATGATGTTTCAAATCAATTGCACCCTTAGTTCCTTCTTCAAACCGTGGAATAGACGGAAGTATAATGGAGCCAAGTCCGGGCTATACGGTGGGTGTGGCAGTAGACTGAACCCAAGCAGGCTAATCTCCAGTTCTGTGTCGTGAGCCCGGTGTGCGGGGGCATTATCATGGTGCAGAATAACATCGTCCAGGTCTAGCTGAGGTCGCTTCCGATGCAATGCTTGTACCAAGTCCCAACGTAACACCTGAAAATTGATAACGCACAACGACTGCATTACGGCGCTATTTTAAAATGCATTTTCTAAAATTGAATAAACAAAATCAAATACTAGAATCGGCTAGCGCTACACGTATTTATAGAAAAAAAGAATAACAAAATAGTAACCGTTATATTTTTTATTTTACCTTTGAATAATAATCCACATTTACAGTTGATCCCTCTCGCACCTTGTGTTGTAGCAGGAGCCAATGCCTATCAATGAAGTATATATACTCTTAGCACTTCGCTGAATTCGAGCCTTTTTGTGCGGAGGTGTGTCATGTCTCAAATAGAAGACGGTGTTGATTGACTATGTCTCGTCCGTGGACACGATCCTGTCCAATAAAATCTTCACCATGTGCCTCGTAACGCTTTAGAAATTCTAGAGAATACTGCACGCGCTTCTGTCTGTCGACTTCCGTCAGAATGGGGGTGGGGGTACCCAGCGAGCGGCAACTGTCGACATGTTGACCTTTTCTGTAAGAATGGTTGCACGGCATACTAATTGAAAGATAATTGTTCAGCTATACCCTGCACCGTAACGCACCTGTAAACGTCCAGCAGTTCTTTCACTATGGCTGTGTTTCCAATAGTACATGTAGACGTCGGCCGACCAGTTGTTTTGTCATCATACATGGATATTCTTCCTTCTCTTAACCACTCATGACATTTATACACAAATGTCTTTTCACCAGTAGACAGTGTTTCCGAATTTTCTATCTTTTTAAAAGTTTCGCTCGGTGAAAGTTTCAGTCCCACACAAAACTTGATGACAGTGCGTAATTCAATGTCGTCTGCTGACGTAATTTGCCGTCTTGTAGAAATCGAGGTTAACGCTTCGTTCAACGCATCGTCTTTAAATTTACGGGAAATGACGTCAAGACGTCACACTAACGTTGCACGCGTTAGCGCTAAATTAGCTTTTAAATTAATTTTCTTCCCGCAGTGACATTTATACTATATCAAGTATACTTTAAGATACAGCGTGCTCAAGCCACAGGACAGTGATTGCTATGGGTACGGTGTATCCATAGGAAAATTGTGATATATTTTCGGCAATATGAAAATGTAATTGCAAACATTTTGGTTTACCTCTATTCGAGTTTTCATGTAGTTCAATAAAGAAATTTGGTTTTTAGAGGATAATTCCGCGAATTTATCAATCAGCCCTCGTATAAAGGTCAGTGTGTACTATTAAAAGACAAAATGTAAATATATTTCTGTGACTAACATACTAAGAAGGAACAAAGAACATTCAAGACAAATTAAGTTACTGCAAACCCAATCCTTTTGAGTAAAGTCTTGGTCAATTGACTGGACTTTGAATGGAAGATAAGGCATCCATTTGCATAACAGAAAAGCATTATTAATAGTCTCTTACCTGTGCTTCAATTTCACATTCCGCTTGAAAGTCATGAACAACATTCTGTCGAAGGTGATGTAGCGCTTTATTTTGTGCGTTTGTATAACGGTTACTAAAGTATATATACTCTTAGCACTTCGCTGAATTCGAGCCTTTTGTGCGGAGGTGTGTCATGTTACTTCAAAATAGAAGACTGGTGTTTGGATTCGGGATTGTAATACTGCAGCTATGTCTCGTCCGTGGACACGATCCTGTCCAAAAAAATCTTCACCATGTGCCTCGTAACGCTTTAGAAATTCTAGAGAATACTGCACGCGCTTCTGTCTGTCGACTTCCGTCAGAATGTGGGTGGGGGTACCCAGCGAGCGGCAACTGTCGACATGTTGACCTTTTCTGTAAGAATGGGTTGCACGGCATACTAATTGAAAGATAAGTGTTCAGCTATACCCTGCACCGTAACGCACCTGTAAACGTCCAGCAGTTCTTTCACTATGGCTGTGTTTCAAATAGTACATGTAGACGTCGGCCGACCAGTTGTTTTGTCATCATACATGGATATTCTTCCTTCTCTTAAACCACTCATGACATTTATACACAAATGTCTTTTCACCAGTAGACAGTGTTTCCGAATTTTATATCTTTTTAAAAGTTTCGCTCGGTGAAAGTTTCAGTCCCACACAAAACTTGATGACAGCGCGTAATTCAGTGTCGTCTGCTGACGTAATTTGCCGTCTTGTAGACATCGAGGTTAACGCTTCGTTCAACGCATCGTCTTTAAATTTACGGGAAATGACGTCAAGACGTCACACTAACGTTACACGCGTTAGCGCTAAATAAGCTTTTAAATTAATTTTCTTCCCGCAGTGACATTTATACTATATCAAGTATACTTTAAGATACAGCGTGCTCAAGTCACAGGGCAGTGATTGCTATGGGTACGGTGTATCCATAGGAAAATTGTGATATATTTTCGGCAATATGAAAATGTAATTGCAAACATTTTGGTTTACCTCTATTCGAATTTTCATGTAGTTCAATAAAGAAATTTGGTTTTTAGAGGATAATTCCGCGAATTTATCAATCAGCCCTCGTATAAAGGTCAGTGTGTACTATAAAAAGACAAAATGTAAATATATTTCTGTGGCTAACGTACTAAGAAGGAACAAAGAACATTCAAGACAAATTAAGTTACTGCAAACCCAATCCTTTTGAGTAAAGTCTTGGTCAATTGACTGGACTTTGAATGGAAGATAAGGCATCCATTTGCATAACAGAAACATTATTAATAGTCTCTTACCTGTGCTTCAATTTCACATTCCGCTTGAAAGTCATGAACAACATTCTGTCGAAGGTGATGTAGCGCTTTATTTTGTGCGTTTGTATAACGGTTACTTAAATCACTTTCAGGGACTGGAAGTTTTACTGTTTCCATTTCATTTTTAAAAATATCCAGAGCCTCTTTTTCAACCTTAGCATTCTCTATTTTCGCTACAGCTGTAAATGCGTCATCAACATCTGGAACAGCCCCATTTTTTATAGCTGTTACTGAGCGATCAGCCAACGTAACGAACACTATGAATAGAGAAAAGGACAATAAACAGTCAAGGTAACTTATAATAATTATGATGCAATGAAAAAAATCACCAGGATTCACCATCTTTAAAAAGAAGATGCTGATTAATTGAATTAATAAGCAAATTATTATTAAAGTGGCTTATAGTACGCTACAAAAGCTGCATCGGAATATATATCTGTATTGCAAATTGCTTACAACAACCTCAATGTCTTAATCATTTTCTGTATACGTTTAAATTATTATTGAATTTCATCAACTTAAAATGTGTTTATGTTAATTTTTTCTTTGCAAATAGACAATTTCGTCTTCATTTATGTTTTGATACTATTCAGTTAATATAAACCAATATGGGGTTATTGTAGCATTGATTTTAGGGCTTTAGATGTATGTCGAGATTTTACCGCATACTTTCAATACTTATTGTCATTTATAACTTACTTTGTCCATTTATTGGTTTACTGGCTAGCAAGTTCTTCGGTGGTATTTTGTATATGTAGGATTTAAACCGACTTGTTACTTCCTTGAATCTTTTAGATAACTGGGTAAAGCTCAAAGTTTCCAGATTCTCAAGAACATCACCATCACCCGGAACTGGGAAAGCAAAGCACTCGCGTTTCGTAAAGTATTTTCTGATGCATGCTCTTGGTTTGTTGAACTGATCTGTTTTGCCTTTGTTCTCTGCTAAGCTTTGCTCAAGGTAATCGTTTTCTGTTATCTTTTTCCCATCTTTTATCAATTTGAGACTGAAATCTCTCAAACATAGAACGAAGTCAGGAAGTATTAGATTGATCAACTGATTATCCTCAGGAGATTTCCCTCGAAATCTTATATTACTGGCCATTTCTGTTACAAATCTGAAGTACTTCTGTCAAGCTATGTATTATTTTGTTATTTATTTATTTTAAGAATATCAGAGAAAAAACTTTGTAAATTTTATACTAATATTAAAAAAAGCAATTTAAGATATCTTTCAAATTTTTGTTTTGTTTGTTTTGAAGTCACACCGATGTTTTTTTCGGCGCATTTCATGTTTCTTTTCATTTTAGGAAGGAATCCTCAGGTGTCCCTCGTGTTTTATTTTAGACACAATGGGGTTTCAGAGTAAAACCACCGACGTTCCGTAATTACCCAGATGGTTTTCTTACATAAAAGAAAGCCCCGAGGTGGTCATGACGTACATGTCGTGGACTTTAACTCACTTGCCAACCAATGCTTAAACATAGAAAGTGTAGAAATAACAGGCACAGCTGAGGGTTTAGGAATGATAAACATAAGCACTCAAATCCTCGCTTATATTCCATACATACTACATTGTTTATATATTCCGTACAAAGAACATTAAATGTTATCTTGATAATGTAGTATGAACGTTATATATAAAGTCGATAATCGACGGTGCTCAAAAATAAGCGATTTAATAGAAAAAGACAAAACACATTAACTTTTAATTATTTCCGGATGATTAATGCTGGATTATACACTTTGTATTCGCCTCTTTAAATAACAAATAATTCTATGCTAACGAATGGATGGAAATAAACATTCTGATTTAATATGAATAAACGTTGGTAGTCTAATGAAACTTTATAGTTAAATCTCACAATTCGTATTGCATTATATATATAACCAAATCATAATTTATCATATCTTGCTTAGAATGTATATTGTTTAAAGCTGCATTTGATTCTGGAGAGCAAAAGCTTATACAGTTTAAAAATACATTCACATACCTTTAAATCAATATAAGACTCATATTACATCATAAACAAAAGGATACGTTAATTTAGAGACGGCGTCGTTATCAAACGCTCCCTTCATGTTGTAAACTAAACAGTTGCAAAGGAGTGTCGCTAGGGTGAAAATCTTGTTGTCATACCTTGGGTCACCCTTTCAAATAAGATTATGATAATTAAGGTTAAAATATATTTTAAACGATTTCAATCCGTATCTTTACCATTTGTATCTGCTATGCGCGTAACCAGTCAATTATTTGTAACGCTCCATCCCCTGTTGAAGCATCAATAAGGGAATTCAGTAGTTGGTTAATCCTTTTAATGACCGTTTTTGTTCTGTCCTTAGCTGACAGATAGATAACGAAACGACCCAAGTTGCTTTATGGATTTATTTCGTAAGAACTGGAACAAACAAGAAATACATATTAAGTAAATAAGTCTTGAGTTATTTATCATTCTGATATGTCGAGACAAAGTTATAACTAGTTGACCAGAAAAGATGTACTAAAAATTATTTAATAAAGCTACACAAAAATAATAATGTTTTACCAACTGACTAGAAAGTTAAAGTATGAATTGAATATTTCTATCAACAACCAATATAGTCTATAAATCTATTCAAGTATGTAAGCAAAATATATGGTCCAAAAATGTAGCAAGTAACATATTTGTTTTACATATGAAAAATGACCTACGTCATGCACTGTCTAACTTGGCTTGAAATGACTGGACAGTATGCTTCCTGTCTTAACACTCATCTCTGTAAACAAACAATTATAATTGTAACAACCTTAACATATCAAAAGGTTTTAAAGCAATACAGTGAATAATACTGCAAATATCTCAAAAGGTTCTAGTCTAAGACAAAAGGGCATGACACCTTAATTAAACAAGCATCATTACAAAATAGCCCAACATAACACTCAACTGGTATAAAAATTACTTAAATTGTCACAAATCAACAGTTAAAACATAAATCTATTTAACCATCTTTTCTTTCACACACAATGATTTAGTGGCATATTACCCAAATGAAAATAGTGGTGCTTAACCTAACCGTACGGAATGGGAACGGCTAGCACGGCAAAAAAGCGCCTATGATTTTACACACACAACGGACTCTACATGCTTAATTAACGTGATCTTTATATGGAAAAGGAAAGAAAATATACTATAACAATCACATAATACAAAAATAGGCCATAACTTACTCGCTAACTCAAAGAGATGCGGGAAAAAATTAGATTTAATTTGCCGCAAAATAAGGCGGAGAACGTAATTTCTGCAAAGCGTGAAAACCAGTAGCAGCATCGCTAAAGTTTACACCGTTCCGGTACAGTTTTATTTCCGGTTTCTTTGTTAAAAGTTGATAATTATTATTCGTAATATCATAGAAATACTCATATATTTTATGAATATCTGAACATTATGTCACCAACCATTTATTGAGCCATTTAAATGCCGGCAAAGATGTAACGTAAATAATTTAGCATAGAGGCAAATCGCTAGACCGTATGGAGGGTTAATATAGTGTAGCTGTCTAAGATATTAATAATGTGTGAAATAATGATCTGTTTGTCCCGTACTCTGATAGACATTACATTGATTGTATCGACTTTTGTACAGTTGTACATTCAACCTCGTTTTCTAACAATGTCAAAAGAAACATACATTATTTTTTTATGTTAACGCCTATCTGGTTTGTAGTAAGATGTTCCTGAGAATTTCTAAAAATATTTTTACGATTATCTGCAGATTATTATTTCTTTATGAATCAATAGAAAGACGGACGGATTTGAGCACATGTTTACAGAAATATATATCTTGAATATATCGTTCGCTCAGTACTAATTACCTGGAACAAAGAATGAAATACATGATTGTATATTATAAGAAACTGAATCTATGACGTGCATTTGAATATTTATCGAGTGATACCATTAACCTTTTTGTTAAAATATGTCAAGCATTTATATGAATTGGTCGGACAAAAATATATTATATCCCTTTATTATTTGTACATCGTACCACGGTCTTCGTTATTTTTATGTAAATTTTAACGAAATTTCATACACGAATACTGATATAATTTCATTTAATAATTAGAATAATAATAATAATAATAATAAAAATTCAAAATTGAAACAATTGAATTACCGTCGCTCGCGGTACGCTTTAATGATTTTAATTTCACCCAACCGAGTGCCTTAACTTTCACCGATAGTCACGTCACAGCATCGACAGATACCAGTCGGACAGTAAGTTACGATAAGATTTGAAGAAATTTCTGCTATGAAATTATATATATCAGCAGCATTTAATTGGTCAGAAGTGACTTGGTCATTAACAATTGATATAGTATGTTAACCGCATATTGTGACCCCCATTTGTGTGATATTTGCGTGTTATGCAATATTCTAGCGTAAATTAGGGTTCTGAGAGATAACAGCCGATTAATGACACTTCGTCTGATTCGGGTCACACGAAATTTGAATAGACATAACTTTTTTTATAATCCAGGAAATTGCACGCAGTTAAAACACATTAAAAGTTCACTAACAAAAGAAATCGTATCAGGGATTTTGGTTTGCCCTATCACAGTTTTAAATATTTTTTTATAACGTAAAGTGTATGGTGAAGAAATTCGCAAACAATTTTTGATTACTTAATTTATTTTTCGAGAAACGGAATTTTTTCAAAATATTATTTTCTCAGAATTTAATGCACATTTATTTACATAAATGACAAGTATTACTTAAAAATTTGTTAAAATGACATTTATGGTTAGTACCACGGAACCCGAATTGACTTTTAAAACAAGTATTTAAATGCAACAAGTATAAACTTGAAATGTGAAATAATAAGTTTGTTTAATAATTAATATTAATGTGTTAACTATTGTTTTGCACATAGTTGGCTGTTAAATGCTTTTGAATCAATAATGCATACCTTTTCAACATCACCAAGGCCTTCGGTATCAAGAAGCAACAAAACAGTGTTCGGCTGAGTGGGGTGTATTTTACACCATGCCCAAATGCCCTTGGTTGTTGATTCAATAGTATCTCCCAGCGCAAAACCTGAATCAGCATTATAAAAAGAACTTTAGTATCTATTTCTTTGTTTGGCATAATGGTAAGAAACAATGCATTTATCATATATTAAATTTATATACATGTATATCAAATTGACGATTTCATGAATTTGTAGGATAAGAAAGGTATGATAAATACGATAAGATCATGCTGCAACTAATTAAGTTGATACAATAAACATACACTTTTAAATTACCTTTGTTTGACTCCGCCAGACGATTCATTAGATATGATTTTCCTGTTCTGTACAAACCTGCGACGGCTACAACAACTATTGGCCAATCTATCTTTGCTATTTGATCAAATACTTTTTCTTCGCTCTTTAAATGAATTTTAGTTTCTTCTCCTATTTCGTTCTTTTCACTTACGGCGCTAATCATGCACATGGGATGTTGGAATATTTCCAAATCATGTGGAGACAACCTGCTGCAAATATTATTACCACTTGCTTTAAATATTTACGTAAACCTATTTCTCCCTGTGTTATGAAATTGACTTGAATTTTGAAATTGTCTGTACATTATATGTTACAGGACATGTAAGAACAAAGGAAATCAATATATACTATCGCTGATGCAGATTAAAAACGTATGAGATCTAAACACCACCTAACACGAATATGATTTATTCAAAGTAATCTAAACGGAATTGGCGAATGGATTAAAACATTTAAAAATAACAGGACATGTTCTCAAATTGTCTTCTAATAATGCATCTATCTATATTTAGACTTACCGGCTTTGACTGACAGACACTTGTGCCATTTTCTCCCGTAATTCGTAGTCGAATTCACTGCCGTAACTGAAATGTTTGAACGTTATAAGACACAGTGGATGCTCGTTTAAATTGAGGCACTGGATTCTTTATTCTTTAAATGTGTTTGTTTAAAGAAAGCGATTAATTTGACAATAATAATAATGATTCGTAAAAGAAATACATTGAGTTAAATTTGATTGCCTTGATTCACGAATGATCTAAGACTGTTCATTCTTAAGGCAACTTTTCGACGACCAAGATATATACATATACAACTTCTGCATCACAATTTTATTTAAAGTTGCAAAATGTTCGAGTTTATGCAAATTAAGAAAAGAGCATAGCTACAAAACCTGGCAGAACCTCTAGATGCATACAGAAAACTATGTATTATTAACTTTTATATAGTTTAGTTTGCTTAATAAATATACATTAACTTCCTTTATCGCCACATCATAAGAGTGTGATAATGTAGCAAGAACGATTTACATAACAATTTTATAATTATTTACTTCACATCAAACGACCTTCCAGGTGATGGGCTTTGTAGAGGGGACTCCTCATCCCACTCTATAGCTGAAGCTAAAAATATATTCAAATAACAATTTGCCAAATGAACTCATTTATAATATAATTAATTTTTAGAAGATTCTCTTGTAGTATTATTTTTCTTTAAATTTGCTTTCAAAGTTGTGATACGAATTTATATATAAAACAACCTTCATAAAAGTTATGAAATATTTTCAGCAAAAAATACTCTGTATAAATTAAATCGTCATTAAAATTAATGTTAAATCATTGTAAATCGATAATTGTCTTTGTTTTCTTATTAGTAGAATGTCTTGAAAATTATTGTTATTAATTAGCGAGTACATAAATATCAGACATCTGAGAAAATATTATAAAATCAGATACATGATACAAATGGCAAAATATACTAAAATAATATAATCATTATCACATAATACAATAAATAGTTTACAAGCTAAAAAGATTGCAAGGTCCATGTTTTCGGAACAAAGGTACAACCTGCTTGTGCTTGCTGGTATTTTCTTCTTGAGCTTTCTGTTTTCTTTCGAGCAGGCTATTTAAAACAATTAGTTGAAATATAATTATATAAAACGTCAAGAAAATGTTACTAGTAGTATAATGTTATTTTTGGAAATTCTTAATTTACAATATCTTATATAAACAACTTCCTTATAAAAATGGATCTATTTCGTAGAAATAGTCTGGCTTCAAAAATTAATGTAACATTTCTGAAAGAGCTTTAAAATTTACTTTTTGATGTAAAACATGTTAAACGTTTCAGTACCTCTGTTGATTTAGCTATACTTTCGTAAAATGCAACTTTTGACCTGTGTGTCATATTTGTCTGTTTATCAGAGAAACCGGCTGATTTTTTGTCCATTCTCAACAATCTGAAAGTAAATATATGATAAGCATGCTGTCCATTATATAAGTAAAACAATAGAGATATATCTAGTAAAATGCAGTTTTGCCCACAATTGATAATCGTTAGTACATATTATCATCAAATCTATAAAGTCTATTATAGATACAATGCCGATCTTAGATTGTGCCATGTGAGGATACTAATCAGTTAGCTAACAGCTCCGTCTACTCAGGGGCCCGTTAAACAATGCCGGTAAGGACTCTTGAGGTCTTCTTCTACCAGATAAGCGGGAATGTTACAATATGAACAGTTAAGTGTTAGTTCGACAAAAAATCAAACCAACCGTCTTTGTTCGCTATTGCATGTGGACATCTACAAATGTGTGTCATGGTTTAAATATTGTTGGGCGGCATGATATCATTTGAAATAGAATCCGATAAAAGATTTAAAAAATATTTTTAAGTTTACGACTTTTTACTGTAACAATAGAAAGATATAAGATATTAAATGATTTTGACGTCAAAAGAAATGTCGTAATAACCTGTTTTTCTGCAAACGTCTGACCCGTACTCAACTTAATTTATAAATCTATGACGAGATTAAAATGACCAAAAACTCAGTCCTAGAGCTATCGTCATGGATAAATAACTCTTCAGTGAGGATCAAACCAACGACAAAAATATTAACGAACATCATTTTAGAACATTTAAGAACTAAGAACTATGATTTTATTTTCAAATATGAAATTACCTTCAAGTGTTGATATCCAAGCTAAAATAATTGATTTATCATCAAATCTATAAAGTCTATAGCCCGAACAAATCATATTAGGATATCATTCAATTCAAATAATGTCAAATTTTGGCAGAAAATAACTCAATGCACAGCACAAAAAAGACGAGGCTTTGATATTGACAAGTACTTACACTTAGTGACTTAAATAACGCATACTTTGAGATAAAGTTAATTTAAAACAAAACGAACAATGCAAACTAAATTATTCTTAATTGTGTGAGACTGAATAAAAAATCTTGGAGTACAACACGAAATTACGTGTTCATTTTATACCAGACAAGGCGTTGCCAAAACATTGCTTCAATATCTACTGCATTTTTAAAGTACTTAAGTTTATAAATCAACAATAACCTTATTGAAAAAGAAAATTATTTTTCAAAATCTGATGCAATAGGTACAAAATAGTCTGTATTCATCTTGAGGTATTAAACTATTCCATTACGTTTGTCCATTGCTCTGTTTATAAATTTGTAATGTAAATTTATTGCTTAAAAGATGTCGGTTTCGTAATTTGTATTAGGAATGAAAGGTTATTTGTATTCGTTGTCCCATATTTCAAAAGAATTTGATTTACTTTAAACACATGGTAAAGGTCGAATAAAGCTTGATATTTATATAAGGTTTGTATTGCTATATTCTAATGCTAATGTTTTCAGATATTTTAAAACGCCATTTCATCAAATTGTCTAGCATCAAGTTTCAAGTACGCTGTATGGTAATCAATACGTATTAGCGGCGACATTTAAATAACATCAAGCGACCCAAATGAGCTCAATCCGACGTTTACCATGTCTATAGAATAAATGAAAATCTTTTGAAATATGAGACAAATAATAAAAATTATATATTCAAACTTTACATCCAAAATAAAAATTGTAAAAATAAGTGTTCGTGGAAAACACACATATACATAAACCCGCACATAAAGTGTACATGCGCACTGTTGCGTTCATGCTGTAATAGTGGTGACTGAAAACAACGAATAGGCAGGAACTCATTTTCCTTTGCTATTGCCATCATTTTGTTCACCGCCTAAATACAATGATTAATGATGGCATTGATTGTGCATTCGATCTTATCAGTACAATAAGGTATATTAACATTTATGATTTACTATAGATTATTAGCTTCACTTTAATAGATTATTAGCTAAAATAGTTTGTGGTATATTAAGAAGAACGCATAGATGCAGAAAAGCAGAAAAAGAGAAAACGTTACCCCTAAATTCTCACTTGTAATGTTCATACATTTAAGTTCATCCGGATCACAACCCTTCTTTATTCAAAAAAAATCCGCCATTTTAATAGAAAAAAATGTGTCACTTTTTGCGCGGAAATAAAATTAATTTTTACCTTTACAAAACAAGCAGTATTTCGCTGTAACAGCTAGATTGTTCAGTTTGTAAAAGTGAAAATGTACCCCCTGGTGTTAATTGTCATAAAATTGAATTATTGGTAAAATAATCTCAAATATGTATTACTAAACGGGAATTTACTTGCCGGACTGCACAACGATTGTAAACATTCAATTATCTCGTGATCGGAGGTAAACTGTCGTCTGCTCTATATTGTCACAGAGCTTGTCACAAGTAATGAATACACCCGAACTTGCCATAAAACATAATTTTTGCACTGAGGAAGAATGCAGTTAATATTTTTGAATAATATGTGCTACGATCAACAATACAAATTAAAGAAGTTTTGATTCAGAGGTTTTATGACTTCTTTCAAAGGCAACATATTCTCTCGCCCTGGGATTTCTGCAGTTCTATTTACCTACACAATTCCATGTTGATACCTTTTATACTTTTCAAATTACGTCCTGAACAAAGTTCCAAGTATAAAAAATACACAGGAAAGCAACTTTAAAAGACGCAAGGGATGGCTTCGGTTTTTATGTATTACACGTTTGCTCAGTGCGATCTGTTAATTATCTTTTATTGTTCTCAGTTATGTCCAGGATGAAATCCAAAATTAACAAATGGTAATTGCTCTAAAATAAGGAAGCGGAAGGCTACTGTTCTCAACTGCATTTCTTCTCAGTGAAATCTATCTACCTTCAAAGTTTTTTAGCTGTTACCTTTAGCAATTCTTAAGTTATGTTCCGGTCAATGTTTAAAGTGTTAAAAAAGAACAAAGGGCAATTACTTCAAAAGTAGGGTTACAGTTATTATGAACTGCAATTCTCCTTAATGAGATCTATTACCTACAAAGTCTTAAGTTGATACTTTTACATTAATTTTGTCAAATCATGTCTCGGACAAAATTTAAATCAACAATGGCAATAAGTTATTTACTTCAAAAGAGGTAACTTGAAACTTGAATATTTGATTAAACGCCTATTTCTACGTATAACACATATTCAATGGCGTTGTACAATATCTAAAAGCCATTGAGAAAAGTAAATTAAAGTAACATCATTATATAATGACATACTTGATAAAAAGAATAAGAACGGTTTCGTTGAACAACATACATATACACATACATATGCAGACACACATATACAAATATCACACATATACATACACACAAATATCTCTCTCTATCTTTCGGTTTCTATAAGAAAAATATTTAAAGTTTTCCTCCACCAGTAAAGCTGGAACGTCGCCAAATCATTTAACAGAAGCAAGACCTTTTTAGATAGAAGGTTTAGTGACGATTTCATGAATTTGTAGGATAAGAAAGGTATGATAAATACGATAAGATCATGCTGCAACTAATTAAGTTGATACAATAAACATACACTTTTAAATTACCTTTGTTCGACTCCGCCAGACGATTCATTAGATATGATTTCCCTGTTCTGTACAAACCTGCGACGGCTACAACAACTATTGGCCAATCTATCTTTGCTATTTGATCAAATACTTTTTCTTCGCTCTTTAAATGAATTTTAGTTTCTTCTCCTATTTTGTTCTTTTCACTTACGGCGCTTATCATGCACATGGGATGTTGGAATATTTCCAAATCATGTGGAGACAACCTGCTGCAAATATTATTACCACTTGCTTTAAATATTTACGTAAACCTATTTCTCCCTGTGTTATGAAACTGACTGGAATTTTGAAATTGTCTCTACATTATATGTTACAGGACATGTAAGAACAAAGGAAATCAATATAATTTTTATACTATCGCTGATGCAGATTAAAAACGTATGAGATCTAAACACCACCTAACACGAATATGATTTATTCAAAGTAATCTTAACGGAATTGGCGAATGGATTAAAACATTTAAAAACAACTGCACATGTTCTAAATTGTCTTCTAATAATACATCTATCTATATTTAGACTTACCGGCTTTGACTGACAGACACTTGTGCCATTCTCTCCCGTAATTCGTAGTCGAATTCACTGCCGTAACTGAAATGTTGAACGTAATAAGACACAGTGGATGCTTGTTTAAATTGAGGCACTGGATTCTTTATTCTTTAAATCGGTTTGTTTTAAGAAAGCGTTTGATTTGACAATAATAATAATGATTCGTAAAAGAAATACATTGAGTTAAATTTGATTGCCTTGATTCACGAATGATCTTAGACTGTTCATTCTTAAGGCAACTTTTCCACGACCAAGATATATACATATACAACTACTGCATCACAATTTTATTTAAAGTTGCAAAATGTCCGAGTTTATGCAAATTAAGAAAAGAGCATAGCTACAAAACCTGGCAGAACCTCTAGAATGTTCTAATGCATACAGAAAACTATATATTATTAACTTTTATATAGTTTAGTTTGCTAAATAAATACATTAACTTCCTTTATCGCCATATCATAAGAGTGTGATAATGTAGCAAGAACGATTTACATAACAATTTTATAATTATTTACTTCAAATCAAACGACCTTCCAGGTAATGGGCTTTGTAGAGGGGACTCCTCATCCCACTCTATAGCTGAAGCTAAAAATATATTCAAATAACAATTTGCCAAATGAACTTAATATAAATTAATTTTTAGAAGATTCTTTTGTAGTATTTTTTTTTTAATTTGCTTTCAAAGTTGTGATACGAACTTTATATATAAAACAACCTTCATAAAAGTTATGAAATATTTTCAGCAAAAAATACTCTGTATAAATTAAATCGTCATTAAAATTAATGTTAAATCGATAATTGTATCGGTTTTCTTATTAGTAGAATGTTTTGAAAATTATTGTTATTGTTTAGCGAGTACATAAATATCAGACATTTGAGAAAATATTATAAAATCAGATACATGATACAAATGGCAAAATATACTAAAGTAATATAATCATTATCACATAATACAATAAATAGTTTACAAGCTAAAAAGATTGCAAGGTCCATGTTTGCGGAACATAGGTACAACCTGCATGTGCTTGCTGATATTTTCTTCTGGGACTTTCTGTTTTCTTTCGAGCAGGCTATTTAAAACAATAGTTGAAATATAATTATATAAAACGTCAAGAAAATGTTTATGGTAGTATAATGTTATTTTTGGAAATTCTTAATTTACAATATCTTATATAAATAACTTCCTTATAAAAATAGATCTATTTCGTAGAAATAGTCTGACTTCAAAAAATAATGTAACATTTCAGAAAGAGCTTTAAAATTTACTTTTGGATGTAAAACATGTTAAACGTTTCAGTACCTCTGTTGATTTAGCTATGCTTTCGTAAAATGCAACTTTTGACCTGTGTGTCATATTTGTTTGTTTATCAGAGAAACCGGCTGATTTTTTGTCCATTCTCAACAATCTGAAAGTAAATATATGATAAGCATGCTGTCCATTATATAAGTAAAACAATAGAGATATATCTTGTAAAATGCAGTTTTGCCCACAATTGATAATCGTTAGTACATTTTATCATCAAATCTATAAAGTCTATTATGAATACAATGCCGATCTTAGATTGTGCCATGTGAGGATACTAATCAGTAAGCTAACAGCTCCGTCTACTCAGGTGCCCGTTAAACAATGCCGGTAGGGACTCTTTAGGTCTTCTTCTACCAGGTAGGCGGGAAAGTTACAATATGAACAGTTTAGTGTTAGTTCGACAAAAAATCAAACCAACCGTCTTTGTTCGCTATTGCATGTGGACATCTACAAATGTGTATCATGGTTTAAATATTGTTGGGTGACATGATATCAGTTGAAATAGAATTCGATAAAAGATTTAAAAAATATGTTTAAGTTTACAACTTTTTACTATAACAATAGAAAGATGTAAGATATTAAAATGATTTTGACGTCAAAAGAAATGTCGTTATAACCTGTTTTTCTGCAAGCGTCTGACCCGTACTCAACTTAATTTTTAAATCTATGACGAGATTAAAATGACCAAAAACTCAGTCCTAGAGCTATCGTCATGGATAAATAACTCTTCAGTGAGGATCAAACCAACGACAAAAATATTAACGAACATCATTTTAGAACATTTAAGAACTAAGAACTATGATTTTATTTTCAAATATGAAATTACCTTCAAGTGTTGATATCCAAGCTAAAATAATTGATTTATCATCAAATCTATAAAGTCTATAGCCCGAACAAATCATATTAGGATATCATTCAATTCAAATAATGTCAAATTTTGGCAGAAAATAACTCAATGCACAGCACAAAAAAGACGAGGCTTTGATATTGACAAGTACTTACACTTAGTGACTTAAATAACGCATACTTTGAGATAAAGTTAATTTAAAACAAAACGAACAATGCAAACTAAATTATTCTTAATTGTGTGAGACTGAATAAAAAATCTTGGAGTACAACACGAAATTACGTGTTCATTTTATACCAGACAAGGCGTTGCCAAAACATTGCTTCAATATCTACTGCATTTTTAAAGTACTTAAGTTTATAAATCAACAATAACCTTATTGAAAAAGAAAATTATTTTTCAAAATCTGATGCAATAGGTACAAAATAGTCTTTATTTATCTTGAGGTATTAAATTATACCATTACGTTTGTCCATTGCTCTGTTTATAAATTTGTAATGTAAATTTATTGCTTAAAAGATGTCGGTTTCGTAATTTGTATTAAGAATGAAAGGTAATTTGTATTCGTTGTCCCATATTTCAAAAGAATTTGATTTACTTTAAACACATGGTAAAGGTCGAATATAGCTTGATATTTATATAAGGTTTGTATTGCTATATTCTAATGCTAATGTTTTCAGATATTTTAAAACGCCATTTCATCAAATTGTCGAGTATCAAGTTTCAAGTATGGTAATCAATACGTATTAGCGGCGACATTTAAATAACATCAAGCGACCCAAATGAGCTCAATCCGACGTTTACCATGTCTATAGAATAAATGAAAATCTTTTGAAATATGGGACAAATAATAAAAATTATATATTCAAACTTTACATCCAAAATAAAAATTGTAAAAATAAGTGTTCGTGGAAAACACACATATACATAAACCCGCACATAAAGTGTACATGCGCACTGTTGCGTTCATGCTGTAATAGTGGTGACTGAAAACAACGAATAGGCAGGAACTCATTTTCCTTTGCTATTGCCATCATTTTGTTCACCGCCTAAATACAATGATTAATGATGGCATTGATTGTGCATTCGATCTTATCAGTACAATAAGGTATATTAACATTTATGATTTACTATAGATTATTAGCTTCACTTTAATAGATTATTAGCTAAAATAGTTTGTGGTATATTAAGAAGAACGCATAGATGCAGAAAAGCAGAAAAAGAGAAAACGTTACCCCTAAATTCTCACTTGTAATGTTCATACATTTAAGTTCATCCGGATCACAACCCTTCTTTATTCAAAAAAAATCCGCCATTTTAATAGAAAAAAATGTGTCACTTTTTGCGCGGAAATAAAATTAATTTTTACCTTTACAAAACAAGCAGTATTTCGCTGTAACAGCTAGATTGTTCAGTTTGTAAAAGTGAAAATGTACCCCCTGGTGTTAATTGTCATAAAATTGAATTATTGGTAAAATAATCTCAAATATGTATTACTAAACGGGAATTTACTTGCCGGACTGCACAACGATTGTAAACATTCAATTATCTCGTGATCGGAGGTAAACTGTCGTCTGCTCTATATTGTCACAGTGCTTGTCACAAGTGATGAATACCCCCGACAAGTGCTTGCCAGAAAACATAATTTTTGCACTGAGGGAGAATGCAGTAGTTTCTAGATTTTTCAAATATTTTTGAATTATATGTGCTACAATCAACAATACAAATTAAAGTAGTTTTGATTCAGAGTTTTTATGACATCTTTCAAAGGCAACATATTCTCTCGCCCTGGGATTTCTGCAGTTCTTTTTACCTACACAATTTCATGTTGATACCTTTTATAGTTTTCAAATAACCTCCTGAACAAAGTTCCAAGTGTAAAAAATACACAGGTAAGCAACTTCAAAAGTTCGCAAGGGAGGGCTACGGTTTTTATGTATTTACACTTTTGCTCAGTGCGATCTGTTATCTTTTATAGCTCTCAAGTTATGTCCAGGATGAAATCCAAACTTAACAAATGGTAATTGCTCTAAAATAAGGAAGCGGAAGGCTACTGTTCTCAACTGCATTTCTACTCAGTGAAATCTATCTACCTTCAAAGTTTTTTAGTTGTTACCTTTAACAATTCTTAAGTTATGTTCCGGTCAATGTTTAAAGTGTAAAAAAAGAACAAAGGGCAATTACTCCAAAAGTAGGGTATCAGTTATAATGAACTGCAATTCTCCTTCATGAGATCTATTACCTACAAAGTCTCATGTTGATACTTTTACATTAATTTTGTCAAATCATGTCTCGGACAAAATTTAAATCAACGATGGCAATAAGTTATTTACTTCAAAATTGGTATTTGAAACTTAAATATTTGATTAAACGCCTATTTCTACGTATAAAACATATTCAATGGCGTTGTTCAATATCTAAAATACATTTAAAAAAGTAAATTAAAATACACATCATTATATAATGACATAATTGATAAAAAGAATAAGAACGATTTCGTTGAACAACATACATATACACATACATATGCACACACACATATACAAATATCACACATATACATACACACAAATATCTCTCTCTATCTTTCGGTTTCTATAAGAAAAATATTTAAAGTTTTCCTCCACCAGTAAAGCTGGAACGTCGCCAAATCATTTAACAGAAGCAAGACCTTTTTAGATAGAAGGTTTAGTACAATAGGTCCAAAATGATGGAATAAACTTCTCAGAGACCTTAAGAAAAGCAAATATGTAGAAATTTTCCACAAACAATTGAAAACTTATTTTTTTAAGGACTTTTCCTCCCTATTTTTAGCACGGAATTCATGGTTAGATATAAACTGTGATGTTGAAAAAACTGTAGAATATTGAAATGTGATTAGAAAGTTACTGTAGAACCACCGACGTTCCGTAAGCTAGCTGGATAGCTCCCTCACATGAAAGTATCCAAAGTCCCTGTCGGGATTCGAACCTACAGCGGTGCGGGGCAAGTGGTTTGGAGTCAACGACCTTAACCACTCGGTCACAGACGACCCATAAGTACGTTGGTACATTTCCTACAGAATAATTATACATATACACTAGGATCTTGAAAATTATACGAGCTTTAATGAGCAGCCAGTGTAAATCGAAAAGTGCTTGCTTCGAACTATCAAGTTGTAATCTATTTAATACACGCTTAGCACACATATTTTGGATACGTTGAGGTTTAGATAAATAAGTTTGCGAAATACCGTTCAATATGACGTTACAGTAGTCCAAGTGAGATATAACAAGAGATAAAACAAGTGTTTCAGTGGCATCAGAAGACAAATACTGCCGAACGCTTGATCTTAAATATCATATCATCGAATGTCCCTTTGAATTGGAAGTAATGGTTATGGTTCTTCTTCACTTCACTTCTATCCCATGTGATTGATTTACCTTCAAAGGTTTGAATTTACACCTTTTATAGATCTCAAGTTATGTCCCGGACAACGTTCAAATTGTAAAAATGAACAAAGGGTAATAATTCAAAAAATTTGGATTGGAGGATTACGGTTCTTATTCACGTCACTCCTTTTCAGTGAGATATATCTACCTACAAACTTTTTATATTTCTCACGTAATGTCTCGAACAAAGTTTAGGGGTAAAATTGAACAAATTGCAGTAACTCTAAATAAGGCAAAGTAACGGTTCGTTTGCACTGTAAATATACCCATTATGATCTATCTACCTACAAAGCTTTCTGTTGATATCTCGTACAATTTCAGAGTTATGCCCCTAAGAACTCTTCTCCGACCGACCGACCAACCGACTCCAGTATACTAATTAAAACTTCAATTATCGAGGGTATAATACAAGTAATGCCGTAATCTGTAGTAACGGCCCGTAATACTGTCCCACTACCATTCGCGGACAAGAAGATCATATTTTGCTAACTTATAATGCATGATTATTTCACACTTTTGGCGTCTCTTATATGTTCATAAACAATAAAAAGACATTTTTGAATACATTAAGGGGCGTATGTAGACTTACATTGCACAATTTCATTGCACTACCTCAATTGGTTTATTTTGAAACTTAAAAAAGGAATATAATGTTTGTGACAACCTTTCGACAAAAATTCAAACCTACCGTCTTATCTGATGATATTTTAAAGATTCGCTATTGCATGTATACATTAACAAATATTTGTCATGGTTAAGATATTGTTGGGCGGCATTGTATTTATTAATTGAAATAGAATCCGATTTAAGATTCAAAAATATGTTTAAGTTTACGATCATTCTTAACTGCGACAAAAGAAGGAATCAAGATATTAGATGATTTTGACGTAATAAAAATGACGTATAAACTTTTTTTAAGTGTCTGACCCGTAACATAATTTTAAAATCTATAACGAGAGTAAAATGACCAAAAACTCACTGTCCTAGGTCAATTGTCATGGAGAAATAACGCATCGGTGAGGATCAAACAAGCTACAAAAATAATGAAGAACCTCATTTTTAGAACAATTAAGAATTAAGAAAAAAAATCAAATATAAAATTACCTTCAAATTTTATATCCAAGCTTTGATTTATTTTACAACTTAACCCGAACAAATCATATAAGGATATCATTCAAATCAAATCATGTTCAATTGTGGCAGAAAATAACTCAATGCACAGCCAAAAAGACACGAAGCTTTGATATTGACAAGTACTTACACTTAGTGACTTTAATAACGCATACTTTAAAACAAAGTTAATTTAAAAAGAACTAACAATGCAAACTAGATTATTTTAGACGCTTTATTGAGTGAGACTAAATAAAAAATATTGGAGCACCCCACGAAATAACATCTTCGGTATATTCTGCGCTGCTAGAACATTGCTTCAATTTCTACTGCATTTTTAAAGTACTTAACTTAACAAATCAGACAAGAACCTTATTAAAAAGAAACTTATTTTTCGAAATCTGATGCAATAGGTACACCCTAGTCGTTATTAATCTTGAGGTATTAAATTATACCATTACGTTTTTCTATTGCCCCGTTTATAAATTTGTATTGAAAATTTATTGCTTAAAAGATGTCGGTTTCGTACTATGTATTAGGAATGACAGGCAATTTCTATTCTTTGTCCCATAATTCAAAAGAATTTGATTTATTTTATACACATGGTAAAGGTCGGATACAGCTTAATATTTAAATAAAGGTTTGTATTGCTATATTCTAATGCTAATGTTTCTAGATATTTTAAAACGCCATTTCATCGAATTGTTAGGCTTCAAGTTTGAAATACACTGTAGGATAATCAATACGTATTTGCGGCGACAATGAAATAATATTAAGCGAACCAAAAGAGCTATATCCGACGTTTACCATATGTATAAAATACATCAAATTCTTTTGAAATATGGGACAAAGAATAAAATTATATATTTATTCAAACTTCAAAAATAAAAATCATAATAAGTGTTCGTGGAACAAAAACTTAAACATACACATGTACATATAGTGTGCATGCGCACTGTTGTGTTATTACTGTTATGGTGGCGGCTGAATACAGCGAATAAGCAGAATGTTACTCATTTTCCTTCGTCATTGCTATTTTGTTTATTGCTCACCGTCCCAATACAATGATAGCATTGATTGTACATTCGATCTTATCAGTACAATAAGGTATCTTTACATTTATAATTTACTATAGATTAATAGCTTCACTTTATTAGATTATAAGCTAAACTACTTTGTCTTATATTAAGAATAACGCATAGAAGCAGAAAAGCAGAAAAGAGAAAGACTTTACCCCCAAATTCTCACTTGTAATGTTCACACATTTACGTTTATCCAGATCACAACCCTTCTTTATTCAAAACAAATTCGCCATTGTGTTGCTTTCTGTGTGCAAATTAGATGACATTTTACCTTTTCAAAACAAGCAGTATTTCGCTGTAACAACTGGATAGTTCTGTTGGAAAAAAGGGTATTTGGGTACCGTTGTGTATCTCCTGGTGTTAATTATAATAATATTAAATTATTGGTAAAAGAAACTCATATATATGAAAGGGATTTAACTTGCCGGACTGCACAACGATTGTAAACATTAATTAGCTCACGATCGGAGGTTAAATGTCGTCTGCTCTATACTGTCACAGCGCTTGTCACAAAAGATGAATACACCGACAAGTGCATCCAGAAAACATAGTTGTGCACTTAGGGATAGTTTGGATTCATAGTTTATAACTTCTTTTAAAGACAATACATTCTTTCACCCTAAAAATTATAGTTACTGACAAAGTTTCATGTTGATACCTTTTATACTTTTCAAGTTATGTCCCTATCAAAGTTCAAAGAGTAAAAAAAGAAGAAAGGGCAATATATTCAAAAGAATGGTAAGGGATATTATGCACTGTACTATTTATACGTTTGATATTTCTCAAGTTATGTCCCGGACGCTCGATATACAAAAATGGATGGACGAAGAAAGCTATTTTAGACCGTTCGACCTACTGTCGTTTCAAAAATGTTTCCATATATTAGAAACGTGTGCTGATTTCGAAAGACAATCCGTCAACTGGATTAAACTAAATCTGTAAATATGGTCAAGAATTTGTCAACGGTGTCATTGTACTTTAAGAAATCCACATGATTCTTACTGAAATTGCCTAATGATAAAGAAAAGGGACTAGCCTGAGGTTTTTTACATGTAGAGACTGAACATACTTTTTTAAAGATTGTTTAAATAGCTGGAGGTATTGACCAAACCCATATGTACAATATTAAAGATCATTCGCTCACTCCTTAACTAGAATTACTAGAATTGAGCAAATTGGTCCAAACATGAAAAAGAGAAAACGGAATTCTTAAAGAACGCCCAAACCGAGACAATTGAAAATGTTGCAGACTCTATTTGATTGAGCCTCATCATGAACTGTACTCGACAACATATATTCTTGCAAAGTTATAAATGCTCAAGTAGATTAATGAAAAAAAATCTAATGTTATGATTAAGCCTATTGGACATCAGGTGAGGTTCCTTTCATATTTAATAATATTTTCATGCACGAGTCCATGCATTGTGTGTATACAAACGGACGATTGTGTGTTGAAAATACAGAAATAGATTAAATGAAATATACTTTATAAGAAATAATATAGCGTATATTTTCCTCTTTTTGTTAGGTTATGATGATAAGTGGGGTATCTGAATAATTATTATGATATATCAAACATTTTATGACAATTCATTTCTAGTCTACACACCATAATAAATGTGATACAATCAGCATTATTTGAAAACACTATCGATCTTGCTCTCATGCAAACAGTTTGTTAACGATGATAGGGTCTCTCTTAACAATCAAGATTATTTTCTTAGTATATTGATATTTTGACATTTGACATTAAAAAAGAATCGATTGAAACAATAGACTAATATCTTGTTACTCGTGCCAGAGACTTAACTCTGCAACGAGTTTAAAATGTACTATTGGCTTAATTGGATTAATACAATTGAAAAGATTAAGTGGAACACTTTTCGGGATGCTTATTCTTTTTGTCTATCACTTTGTTTCTATTTTATTCATATGTATCTTCAGAAAAAACAAATTTAACAAACTTACCTATATGATTTCCTTCTGATCTATGTATTACCCAATGCAATACAAAACTAAACCTTGTCTATACTTATAAGCATTAGTTATCCAAACCACTTATCAAAAACTGATTTTTAAAACAAAACTGAAATACATGATAATTGTTCTTTTACAAATTATGATCACTGAGACAACAAGACCGTGAAATAAAATGTAACATCTTGATACTGGTTTGTTTAAGACCTTTATCTGACTTAAATGACTACTTTTAACAGAAAACAATTTAAAATATGACTAAAATTGTGAAATCAAAGTTTGGAAATGTTTTGCATAGCAAACATATAGTTCAGGACACCGTCTTGCAAAGCCCAATAGGATTTTTTATTACAAAATGAATGGTTTGTCATAGAAACCTAACCAGTGCATCTCCAGGATAAACAATGATGGTGATTATGTATGTATGCCAAAAATGAAGAAAACATATAGTTACAAAACAGGTAATCAAAATGCACCTAGTCAAATAAAGATAAGTTTATTGCATTCAAAGAAAGTTATCCAAATTTTCAAATAAATTCAACATTACTTTTTGATATTTTGGACGTCAGTAGCGACGAAAAGTTCAGCTAAAATTTTATGAAACATAATCTTTATATATTTTTTATAATTGTATCTACGACTAACTTATTATAATTATGTTATATCTCAGATTCAAGAGCGATACCTAGTCCGAAAATAGCCTAATGACATTACTCTTTTCATTGATTATTCTTAACCCAGCTATAAAAGAATGGCAATGCCTTGTCTAAATACTGCTTTGACATTAACAATATTTTCTTGTAAATTAGTTGTCAGAAATGTCTAGCAAGTGTCTATGTTTTTGCAATGTTTAAATACATTCGATGCTCATTTCTTTTAAATTCTAGTAATTATATTACATTTTCATAACACCCTCCAAAAATGTCAATGGTTCTTTGAATTTTGCAATGTCGACACAGTCCAGAAATCTCGAAAGGCTAGCAGAAATTCTTCACTTTCACCATTATCCAATAACTGTTTTAATTCAAACAATCCGCATACTTTTTCAAGGCTTGAAATAGACACGTGTAGGCAGTGGACATATTCATAAAAAAATACAAACACTGAAGAAATTCATATAATTTCTTCACTACAACCACTTAAACTACCTAAATCCCTTAAAGAAATATAAGTGAAAACAACTTGTTTTTAATTGATTCAAATTGTTGAAAATATTACAAGATATATAGAATAATGCAAACAATGCTGATCAACTCACTTTTAGAAATAATATCTGGAATGAAAACAAAGACTGTGCATAATTCATTTCCAGAACTACTTTGTCATTTTAAGCCATAAATTATGTAATAATTTACTTTGAATGATTTAAAGATATTGTTTATGTAATTATCAAGCTTTGACTCGTTTACAACGGTTTCTGTTTATGATCGATAAAAGGAAATGTTTTACTCATTTTGAATGGTTCGCAGAAAAGCATTAATGAGCAAATAAATAAAAACATGTCAACTATTATAGTGTTACACTTTTCAATAAGGTTTAGAAAATTCGGGTTGATGATGATTATAGAAACGCAATAAATAATTTATTTTACTGACGTCCAATAAAGAAGACGTCAAGTAATACATCAAAATTGGTAATATGCAAGATATCTGCATTTGTATATTTTACCTGTAGTCTACTGATTTCCATGTTCATGTCCTACCTTATACAACGTCGACAATTGGTTAATTTAACATATTTCCCTAGAATATATAATAAAATAGTCATGTTTTCAAATATATTTTGTATGGTACATTTTAAATTTTCTTAAACTACGGGAGACAACAACTGTGTTATGCCGTTATTCTGTAACTTTTTCAATTACTCTTCTTTGTAAAATTCGTTTCGTGAAAACACTTATACAGTGTATCTTCATAATCATGATTGCAATTGTAGCCATATTGCCTTACTTTATTTGACCTTGTATGTGTTAAGTTGTTTGCTTCGTTTAGTATTCATTTACCCTGAAGATTGGATTTCAAATATGTTGACATATTTCAAATTAAAACACGCCATGGGTAAGGATGAAAATATTTGACGACAAAATGTTTTAATTTTTTATTATTATAATTCATATAGAAATCCAATGTATTGTAACAAGTTACTAAAAAGTCACTTTTTCCTACTTTTATAAATCCTATAAGTTAAGGCATATATTATTATTTACCGTCAGTCTATGATTTC